TCCTAGCATATGGGACGAGGAATGTGCCTTTATCTTTGTGTCTGTCAGAGTATATAATTAAATTTTGTTTTTGTATTTGAAGATTATGGTTCAGTGTTTTCTGTATAATTGCTACTTTACTTTTGAGTCTTCTGTCCTGAAGGCTTTCTAAATTTAGTGATTTTACTATAGGTGTTACTCTAGTCAAATGTGAATATTCGTTTGTTATGAATCTCACTGCTCTATTTTGTGTCTGTTCCAGTTTCTTAATGTTTTCTTGAGTTGAGGGGTCCCAAACGGAGGATGCATATTCTATTATTGGCCTAACCAAGGTTAAATAACATTTTAACTTTATGTTCTTATTTGATTTATAGAAATTTCTATTAATAAATCCTAATGATATGTTTGATTTTTTAAATAGTTTCATCAATATGTGGATTCCATGACAGTTTTTCATATATTATAACACCTAGGTATTTTTCATTTTTAGTCTGTGTTACTGGTTTGCCATGAATAAGATAAGTGGAATTAATTTGTTTTAGTTTTTTTGTTACTCTTAACAACTGACATTTTTCTGGGTGGAAAGACATGCTCCAATTTGTTTTTCCATTTCTGTAATTCATCTAATTCTCTTTGTAAAATATCTGTGTCTTGTGTTGTTTTTATTGTTCTATATATTATGCAATCATCTGCAAATAATCTGACTTTTGTTCCTGAACTAATGCAATTTGGTAAATCATTTATGTAAATTAAAAATAGTAGTGGACCCAAGACTGTTCCTTGAGGTACACCTGAGTTTACTGTTATTGGTGTTGATTTAGAGCCATTTATTATTACAGTTTGTTCTCTCCCTATCAGAAAATCTTTAATCCACTGATGCAGTGGACCATTAATGCCGAAATATTTTAATTTTTTAAGCAAACTATGGTGGTGAACTTGTCAAAAGCCTTAGAAAAATCTAGTAAGATAGCATCTATTTGTTCACTATTATCTAAACCTTTAGAAAAATCATCAATTAATCCTATTAGTTGTGTTTCACATGATCTATATTTCCTAAAGCCATGTTGGTATGGTGTGAGGACATTATGTTTGTCTAAGTGGTTTATGATGTTCCTACATATTATGTGTTCTAGGATTTTACATGTAATGCTGGTAAGTGATACTGGTCTGTAGTTTCCTGGATCAGATTTTTCTCCTTTTTTAAATAGGGGGGTGACATTAGCTTCTTTCCAGTCCTTTGGTACTCTGCCCTGGTTAAGCGAAGCCTGAAAGAGTATTTTGAACACTGGGGCTAGCTCATTGCTAAGTTCTTTGAGTAATCTAGCTGGAATACCATCAGGTCCAGACGCTTTATTTGGTTTGGTGTTGGTTAATAGTTTTTGAATTCTATTTTCTTGTTCTACTATATCTTCTATGTTGTCTACTTGGTTCAAATTCAGTAATATGTCTTTGTCTCCGGGGGCTGAGAATGCTGATGCAAAGTATTTGTTTAGGATGTTTGCTTTAGTTTCATTATCATTATGTTATGTTCATCTTGTAAGGGCGCTATGCCTATTGTTTTCATTTTCTTAGACTTAATGTATGACCATAGGTTTTTGTTATTATCTTTAGATATTGCATTGTTTATGTATTCACTCTGCAGCTATCTGCTTACTTTTTGGGTTAGGTGTTTAATTTTTATATACTTTTTGTAAACTCTTTCTGCCTTAGTTTCTTTAAATTTTCTATATAGGTTCTCCTTCTGTTTACAAAGCTTCTTTGGTCTATTATTAAACCAGCATTTATTTATTTTGTTTAATATGTATTTAGTTGGTATATGATTTTCTATAATGCTTTTAAGATGGTTTTTAATGAAATTCCAGAGGTCATCGAGTGGTTGGTTAATGTCTTTTTCTAATAAGAATGTTTGTTGAAAGTTTAATGCAGCTTGGTGTAGTTGTATTAGGTTACATTTATTCCAGAGTAAGATTTTTCTTTTGGGTTTTGTATTGGCTACTGCTTTTATCTGACTGTGTATTTTTATGATCTCATGGTCTTTTTGATTCTCTTTGATTTATCATAAACATTATCGGCAAATCGATTTTTACATTGTCAGGCGTGTTTTCAAATTAATCTAAGTAACTTGAGTGTTGTGTTGTGTTATTGCAGGCTATTCTAGCCAGCAGCTAGAACAACAACTTTGGTCGGCACTGAACACTGTACGGCTGGATCAGTGTTTCGAGATGTCTACGTGGTGTGTAGTCACTGGGGAATTAGAAACAGTTTCCTTCAAACTCTACATCAGTGGTCCCCACACTTTTTTGTCTCGTAGATCTCTTGCCATCTTTTCCATTTTCGGTAGACCCTCTGCATTTTTTTATTTTTTGGAAAATTCCTCATCTGTTTTGTTCACTGATTTCTATGCCATTCGTGGATGAAATTCAAATTAAAATAAAGCAAAATAAAATTGAATATGTATTACATGAATTGACTAAAAAAAAAGCGCCAATTAGCGATTCCGATAATAATATTTCAATATTGGGCTTCAATTTAATTGTGTAATATTATAACGTCTCGATTAGATGATGTTTGTTTTAAATTTGATTTCATTGTGTAATTCCTCCCAATCCCATCCAGTGTATGCTTCCTTCATTTAATCCTCGCAAGAAACATTGACACTATGACTTCGTTTTAATCAAATTTAGGCTATCACCATGTAGTGGCAAGTTAACCTCTTTGAATTTATGAAAAAAATCTGTTAGACTATTTCCGATTCCCGCTTAATTTTATTGTTTTAAAATTGAATCTTAAATTTAGCACCCAAGAACTCAGAAAAAAATAATGTCAAACATATGCCTTTCGACAACTATCATACTTGAGTGTGACTGCATGACTAAATGCATGACGCGTAGGACGTAATCATCTTCTTTTTTTGAAGTAACGTCTGTATTATATAAGAAGTAAAGGAGCAGTTGATCAAAGTTTCAGGCAAAAAGCAGTTTTTATGGATTTCTTGATTCATAACAAAAGGAAAATATGACAGAACTATATTATCAGGCAAGGGTGAACTACTCCAAGCCTTTTTTTTTTGTTTTAAGACGTTTATTGTTGTCCTAATTTTACAATTACATCTTTGAATTGTTGCTTGAGAAATTTTTATCAGGCTATCAGATATAGGATTGTGTAAAACAGGTTTGGAAACCTCTTCAGTAACTGGCAAAGTTATTTTTTGCTTGTAGTGGGCAGTTTTCTGGAGTTTAATATAGGCCCAAGTAAAACTATTGTAGGACGCTGATAAACCTCTTCTCTTTTGTGATGTTTAATCAAACATTTGTTTCTACAGTGGCTCTATTGAAATCTTCATCTATTTCATCATGTTGGCATTGTCTCAAATGATGTTTCTCCTTCAATGGCATTGTGACATAATTTCAAACTTTGTTGCATAAAAAGCACAAATGCAATTGCTTGTTCGACACATTTCTAATAACCATCACTGGACTTTCTACAGTTCTTTTTTAGACTCGGTCATGTACAGTATTACTTTCATGTAGACATATACAAGCTAATTAGAATACAATGTCTACGTTTAGAAATAAATAAAATGTCAGGCTAACATGGTTAATATTCAGTAAGTTAACTAAGGTACCGTACAAATCATTAATAAACATGCTTACATAAGATCCACTAGCGTTGACCACCATTTACAGTTCATAGATCCCCAATTTATTTTTTTTCACTTCTGTTGGAAGTTCTCGTAGACCCATGAGGGTATATATAGATCACTTTAGGAATCACTGCTCTACATCATGACGGATTATGCCCCCTCCCTCTGGTGAAATGTAAGATGTAGAATCCATTCGTATCAAAAAATTAAAAACTATTGTATAGAAAGTTAAAATGGTTTTGCGTTTCCTTAAGTGTATTTTAAATTAGTGATCACAAATGTAATTTATTCTTCATCTATCGAGCATATTTAAACATTTTGCATTGCAAATAGTCATACAACTTAATGAAAGATCGCTTTTGAATACTACAGTTTTAAAATGCACCTAAAAGGTTCTTTTTTTAAAAAAAAAAAAAAGAATAATTATGATATCCGTAATTGTATTTTTAAAATTTAATGAAACGCCTAGGTCTACATTCACTTTTACATTTTTTGTTTTGTTTACAAAGCTTTCTATCAACTCACTCTGACCGACAATGCCTTCGCATGTTGCTGGAAAGGCCTGTTTGATTCTACAAACTGAGCATGCTACAGATAATATTCTTTATTTGAAGGGATGTCTTCCAAGAACACAACTGAAGAAAAACACTTTTGAGACGGTTCTTGACGCTACCCATGCAGGCCAAAGAGAAGCTTACATATTCATAGGTTTACATTAATCTATATTGTGAGGTACTGTCGGTGCGTAGGTTATGGCATTCTAATGTTTATTAAGTGCACAATTTTTGAACGCACTTTCTTTGTTGCCTTGCTTGAAAGCTTATGGAGTGGTTTTGTTAAGCTGGTGTAACGTTGGTTGAGATTCTTCTGTGTTCCCCTGTTTAGGGTGAGTATCTAAGGCATGACTGCATTTCGCAGTTGTTTCGATGCCATAGTATACTAGACCTTTTTAGTTTATCTTTACTTTTGTCTCTACAAGTAGTTAGTATGAGATTCGAAGTCTACACTAGGTACTTATCATACTAGAGTCGAGTTAGCGGTGTGTTGTGATTGTGAACATTAATGTGCTACGTAGTCGGACAGCAAGGTGGAGAGATGATTATATAAGTAATAAAACTATTATGTTATAAAACGTATAACTACAAGGCTATTACTTCATCATCATCAAGTCTATTCATCTCATTAAACATGTATATTGTTAATATTTCGTTGACTGTTTATTGCAAGCACGAAGGTGCCTGTTGAATGTCAGGGGCCCGGGCAAACAAGCTAAGGCTGTAACACAACCCTGACAGGTACCAATGCTGGATACAACTGGAGATTTGGTTTTAAACTGGAACTGGATAAATACATAAACACAGTGAAACTAACGAAGAAGTCCAATTTGTACAGCCTTTTATTTCATTTTGGTTTACAGATTTAAAAAAAAAATAGCTAGAGATATGAAACATGATAGTTTACTCATGTATCTGACACAAAGCAGATTTGTTACCATGACATTTAAATGACAATGACAATGATATGCCATACCAAGGTGACATTAGACGGTGACAAAAATAAAATGTGACAATGTGGAGGGAAAGTTGACACAGATATATCAAACTTCATTTGGTCAAGATGTGTTTAAACACTTTTATTGCAAAATAATAAACAATGAATATTTATGCCACACCTAAAACTGATGGTCTGGTAATATTAGTTGTCTTACTAGTAAATAAAAACAACAACAAAACACATTACACTTGTCCTCATTTAAAACAACAAAATACACATACTAGCCAGATTTTATCAAAGCTTAAGACTGATTAGATAGGAGCAGGACAACAATTAATTTATAATATCAGAATATATATATATCAGAAAGGGTTTACTATTTTTTGTAGATCAGTCTGAAAAGATTTGTATTTTAATCTAGCCTTTTATTTCTAGCATTTCAAAGAAATATTAATTTATTTTTTGTTTGTAAAATAAGAGGAAGTTAAAACAATACCAAGCATTTGCAAAGCATATTGTTTTTTTACTTTACAAAAATCAAAATCCAATTAGGCAAGTGAAACACAGAAATGCAGACAGCATGAAACATAAAAGAAAGTGCAGGTGTTTATAAATAGAAGACACAAAAACAAACAAAAAATGTAAGAAATGTTCCTGAGTTTAAAAAAAAAAAAGCATTTTACAATGTTCTCAAGTCAATTTATGCTCCACCAAAGTGTTTAGAGTGTGTGAATGTCAGGGTCACACCACTATATTGGCTTCTCCCTTCTGCTCAACTTTATCTCATGGCTGCAGTTACTATATATTAAAAAAAAAAAAGATATACACATGCATTGTTCTGTTACAAGTTAACACACCCAGAGTGCACCTAAGCTCCACTTACCTATACAAATAAATGTTTACACAAAAAAAAACTTTAGCAAAATAAAAATAAAAAACACCAACATAAACCAAGAAAAGAAAAAGACATAAACCAATCAGTGAATCAGACAATGAATGTGGTATATAAAATACAATCAGTCAAATAGAACAAAAGCTTTAAAAAAAAAAAAAATAAATAAATAAATAAATCTCTAATTTTTAAAATTTCATTCAATGTCTATAAATTGAAGATGCAACCTAATTTTGCAGAAGTGGATAATCCTAGCCTGGTACAATCGATTCATAACTGTCTGCCATGTTCAGTTTAAACAATGCAAGTCAAATCAAAATAAATACAAAGTTGGTATTATATAAGAGACAGTTCTAGCCCTGAGCTATTTATAATTAGGCAAAGGAGTGTACAGCATAGAGCTGATCAAGTCAGAGAGAATCTTATCTTCACTGGAACTGGTGACAAGACACCATTTGTTTTAATCTACATACTGTAGCAAAAAAACAGTTAAAGTAGGATTACAAGATGAATAAAATGACCCTAATGTAGTTTTGACAATGCCCTCTGTAACATATGGTATTATTCATTCAAAAACTTCATCATCAATCATTAAGATGACAAAGTTATTTTTAAAAACTTTTTAACACTTGCCAATACAGAAGTTTCTCTTCTCTAATACAGTAGTGATTAATATACCAAAGGTAGTAAATTAGTTAATTGTAGACCAGATGGATTCAATGCCAGAGAGTTTTAAATTTCATTGGTCATGCAACCCATTCACCTTCAATGTGTTTGACAATTGTTTTCTTGTAATTACAATTAATGGCCAGGACATGTGTAAGTGTCTTCATGTACTTCCCACACAGCCATACAGCCATGCACAGAACTAAAGGACACACAGCCATGCACAGAACTAAAGGACTGACAACACAACTAGAACAGGAGATTTCATTCACCTATTATTCCATCCACATTTTCCTCAGTGTAAATAGTCAGGTTTAGTGGATTTTGCTTGTACCCCTCTGTGTACACTACACACACCAATTCATTGACTTATATAACAAAATACAGATCATAATGTACAACATGGTTTTAAAGAAACAGAGAGAAAAGACAATAAGCGACCATGTTTACCAAAACCAAGACACCATATGTAGTCGAGTCAAAACATTATTTACAACAAAATTCATTCCTAGTGGCTAATAATTCCTTAGAGAAAAAAATAATAGTAAAATAATAGTTGAAAGTATATAGTTATTTTTAAATGTAGCTTTAGTATTGGACTTGTATTATTTGGTCATAAAAGTGTTCATCAATGTCTTTATAGTTTATATTTAGAAATAACCCTAACACCTTTTCATTAAAACAAAAAAGTATAAGCCAATTCGAAACTTATAAAAGACAATGACTGCAGCAAGACTATCTGCAGTACACTGGCTTTCACTTTATTCTCTGGGTACTTAGATCTACTCTGTATAGAGCGAAACACACAGGATGCAATGCTCCAGTTGAAAGCACACACATGGTGCGCTTCACTCTACAAAAGCAGCCAACAAACAGACATTTATAGCAAGATGTACAGCATCAAGTAAAAACCATACAATGTATACTACAAAATGACTACATAGACACTCAAAAAGAAACGGCTCCACCATCAGACAGGAGCTCCTTTTTATATGTTAATACATACAAATATTTGTCAAGATACAACTAGATTAATGATATAATTAAAGATTAGCTTTTCATGCATCTAGTACAAAGAAAAATAAAGTTAAGCTTTCTTCATGGCTCACTTCTCTCATAAAGAAATAATTTTGGAGACGTTAAGACCAAACCATATTAAAGCAGTCCAATGAATACACCTGGAAATAAAAACTGTTTACAATTACAAAGCTGTACAGACAGAACAAATGTTCAATAGTGTCCCATTTATGTCTACGAACAGCCAAGCAAACATGTTTGCAGATTCAAAATGTTACTGACATGTCCAAGTGAATTATAATTTGAGAACCAGTTTTGTTGTTAACATTATATCACAATATTCTGGTACTAACAGGATGAAGTGGTGCCAATACATGCTGGTATTTAGTGTGAGGCTACACCTTCAAAACCAGATGGCGACTGTTATGAACTGAATGAAATCTACATATTAATATACTAATGATATGACTAATAGTAATGTGCGCTTGGACGAAGAATTAAAAAATGTTCAAAGTAACAACAAACACTAAATTGATCAGTTCAAATCGTTGTCATATTGTACAAATATGACCAGCCAATCATCATGTGCCTTCAATACAGGGAAAGGCGCGAGGCTGGAATTCTCTATTTGCATCCATAGAAAAACAATGAAGCATACCACACACTGAGGGTCAGTAGAGATGGTTGACATGACTTTGACTAGTCCAGGTCACATGATTGCATTCAATACACTTTTTTTTGGCCACTAGAATGATGTCAAATACTTGGCATTTCATGAATGGAATCAAATAATGGGAGGTAAGTCTTGTCATTATTCTCTCTTTTTTGTTTTAATCTTTGCTGGGGAGTGTTGATTGATTTATTTACATTATATTACAGCGGTTTCACTTAGTACAGTTAGCTGAAGTTAAAACCCCTAGCCTGTACTGGAAATAGTATTCAAACATGACAAGTCATATACACATGAAAAATAGAAATGTTATGTACAAAAAAGGAAACAGCACACTAGGCCATGATATATTTTGAAGTTAGTGATTAATCAAAGGATGGTTAAAAGGTATGAAAATAATGGATTCATTTCAGAGTTACACTGAACATTTAAAACAAAACAGTTGATTATTTACTAAAGAAAGAAATGCCAGGATTAAAGCGCTCTCACTCACACAATCATTTTGAATTTAGTCCTCCCTACAAAAAATATAATCAAGTGACATAATACCTGAAAATGTAGGGAAAAAAAAAACTCTGAATATTTAACTTGAACTAGCACACAAGTATTCCACCTCTTATGTTCTGAAATTCAAGGGATTCTTTTCTTTAATATAAATTAAATTCACAAACTCATAACAAAGCACACACACACACACACACATCAAAACTGGTTTTATTTGGATTTATAATAAATAAAAGGGTAACCAATTTAAACACAAAAAAAAAGGGAGGGGGGAGGGGTATCAAAGTGTATAGTTTATCCCTGCCGGTTTGAAAATGAAACTATGGATGAAAATGAGATGCTCTCAATCAACACAAAACGGACACATCACACAAGATACAATGCATGCTCGAAATACCACACACCAAGGCATACTATGTATGCTTGGAAAACATGCTAGGAATATACATCACACACAGACTCACAACCTTCTACAAGAAATATTGAAATTATATCAGAGCAACACAATGGGTAGTTGCAGGGAAAAGTAATCTCACTGAAAGTGATAGTGCTAAGGGGAGATGACTAGCAGAAGTCAAATAATCTTACAACAAGAAGGTCACACTCTATAACCTTTCCTTTACCCACTGAATAATTTTCAAAAGTTCAAATATTCTTCAAAATACAAACAACATACACACAATTAAGACAACACAATAAGAACAAATAATGAATAGAATAATATGGTGCTTCTCAAAGTGTAAGGAAGGGGTGGGCCAACTGATGGTTTTATTTTATCCCACAGTGGATATAATGACCCCCTCAGTTAGTGTACAATTCATAGACATAACATTAAAATGCTAAACATTACAAGAAAAAAAAAAACAGCACCATTTCGAAATTATTCACAATATTTGAAGGATGTTACCATTAATGTAAAATCTTTTTTTTTTTTAAATAAAAAAAAAAAATTGAGGTAACCTTTAACCTCTCAAATGACTTTCTCCACAAACTGTCAAAAGAGACCTGTTACTTAATGCTTAAGAATCTTATTTTTTAAAAAATCGATAAAGAATTGAGATGACGGTGGAATACTGCAAGGCTTTAATCATTAGACTGCTGAAATACTTTGATACCATACACAAATGATTTTGATTTAGAAAGAATCTGCAAAAAATATACACTAGAACTTTCCATGATAGCGTTTCGCTTTTTTTTTTTTGGCTAAGACAGCAATTCATTTCCATCTGCAGATTGGTACAGTACATAACTATTAAGTAGTAACAGTATGGACTTAATTACTAATGGAGCTGTCTCACACCTCTGCGATGTTGAATAAATGTATGATGACACACGTTCTCAAATTCTATGAATGTATTAATGATGGATGTCAATGTAATGCATATAGAGATACAACAATGGCAATAATAAACATTATAACTCAAACTTTTGGAACAGAATTTTTGTTTCTATCAAGTCGGAATATGAGCAAATTAAGAAAGAAAAAAAAACCTGACATGTAGGTGGTGATGGTGAAATAAATATTTCTATATAGATGAGTGATTGCTTATCTTTAAATACATTCAACATAGGAGAGTGTATAAAGCCTAAGACTTACATAACAGAGGGGAA